CATCAATGACAAGCTCCCTGATGGCCGCGGGGACCACCAGCAGACTGGTGGCACCTACGGGCAACAGGAACACATTGATGCGGCGACGCATGGCGCCTTAGCCACTGGCGGCACCAATGTGCAGCAAGGAAACACCGGTACGGGGACACATGGCGCCCCGGCCACCGATGGTGCCTACGGGCAGCACAAACACACCGGAGCCACTGGCACGAGGATGCATGACACCGACACCAGCGAGAAGAAGGGCGTCATGGAGAACATCAACGACAAGCTGCCTAGTGGAGACGAAGACCACCAGCACACCGGTGGCACTTACGGTCAGCAGGGACAAACCGGCGCGGTGATGCATGGCCAGCAGGGACACACCGAAATGACCGGCTGGGGGACACACGGCAACACTGAGAAAAAGGGCGTCATGGACGACATCAAGCCCAAGCTCCCCGGTGGCCACGATGATCGCCAGCAGACCGGCGACACCTATGAACAGCAGCGACACACCGACACTGCAACACATGGCACCCTTGCCACCGGTGACACCTATGGGCAGCAGGGACACACCGACACGGGGACATATGGCACCGGCGAGAAGAAGGGCGCCATGGGTAACATCAAGGAGAAGCTCCCTGGTGGCCATGGTGACCACCAACAGACTGGTGGCACCTACAGGAGCCAGGAAGACACCGAAATGACTGGAATGGGGATGCATAGCACCACAGCCACAGACGACACAGATGGTCAGCAGGGACACACCCGAATGACCGGCACAGTGGTACACGACACCGACGAGAGGAAGGGTGTCATGGAGAACTTCAAGGAGAAGCTCCCCGACGGCCATGACGACCACCAGCAGACTGCTCGCACCGACGGGCACCACGCCGGCACGGGGACGCATGACACCCCGGCCACCGACGGCACCTATGGGCAGCACGGACACACTAGAGTGACTGACACAGAGGCGTACAGCACAGGCGGCACAGGCGAGAAGAAGGGCATCATGAAGAACACCAAGGAGAAGCTCCCCGGTGGCCACAATGACCGCCAGCAGACCGGTGACACCTTTGGGCAGCAAGGACACGGCGACACATGGCACCCCGTCCACTGGCGGCACCTACGGGCAGCACGAACACACCGGAGTGACCGATAAGGGAACACAGGGCACCGGTGGCATCGACAAGAAGAAGGATGCCATGGAGAACATCAAGGAGAAGCTCCCCGGTGGTCATGGTGACCACCAGCAGACCGCTGGCACCTACGGGCAGCATGGACACACTGGAATGACCGGCACGGAGACGCATGGAACCACGGCCACCGACGGCGGGCAGCAAGGACACAACGAAACAACTGGCACTGGGACACACGGCACCGACGGGACCGGTGAGAAGAAGAGCTTCATGGACAAGATCAAGGAGAAGCTGCCTGGACTGAACTAAGCCCGGTCTGCCTACGGCCGCTACCTTTGCAGAATAATACTCCACCGCATATAAATTGATTGAGTCTAGTTCACCTAGCTCACTTGGTCGTTGGAGAAGCGAATGTATCTTGGTTTAAGTTTTCATGGACAACATGTGTTCACAGTTTTTTTTTCTTTTTAACATTGTCGTGCAAATTTCCTTCTGGTTCAACCCATGTATGTATGCTATGATGCCTATGGCATCTAATATATCAGTATAATAAAGTTACTAAGCTTCCAGAAATTAGAGCCTCGTGGTTGAACGTGGCATATGAGACCACCTATTGCCTAATTTTCAGTCGGTAAGAGCATCTTTAGTAGATCCCGTAAACCACTGTTCCTGAAAAATCGTTTACGGTATCTAATAAACGATTTTTGTAGGACGCCGGCCGCGCTGCAAGAACAGATCCCGCATAACGATCCTGCATATGACACAAATTTAAACAAACTATACTCCACGCTAAAAACATCTCGCCGGAGTTCATCAAACCAACGTAGCATAGCATAGCGCACGGGAGTTCAACACACATAGCATAGCGCACGGGAGTTCAGCACACATAGCATAGGGAAGTTCTTAGTACAAACCATAATTAAACATAATCAAAACATAGCATAGGGGATCTACTCGTCGCCGGAGTCCTCGCCGGAGCCATTGTCGCTGTCGTAGCACTCGTCGTCCTCGTCGTTGGAGCTGACCTCGGCGGGCAGCGGCTTCCCTCCATGAAGCATATCGTAGATCAGCGAACCAAAAATCCGGGATTGGGGCTGGTACTCCTCCCAGGACGCCGGCGGCAGCTGCAGCCGCATCTCCAGCGTCGGTCGTGCTCCAATTTTGATAGTTTCCTATTAGTAAATAGTAAGCGTTATTAAGAAATATTTTTTGATGATGTATATTACGATAGTGGTAAATGATTGATCTCGCTTATTGTCCGTTGTTGTCTGGTTGTTATTAATGCTTTGAGTGTCATCATATTTCGTAGGTGTAGAAATTCCAATAATTTTTTAGTGCGAAGCACGACATACATGAATTTAGAATACTGCGAGTGTTATATTTGGCTTTACATCTCCAAACAAGAGACATGTTGATAAAGTGTTCTATACATGGGCTGACAAAAAAATTTGCTTGTTGGATGCAGTTGATTTCGATGTTGATAGAAATTATGTTCAACGAAGTTACCCTTAGCATAGATTTACCAAAATGATAATTTCCACGCGTGTGACACGAAGCAATCCCGCCTTGACATTTTTACAACTAAATTGCCATCCGAAAAGGAAAAAAAAGACAAAAAATACTAATATTTGCTATCCGAGTCATCCTCGCGTCAATAAACTTGTCATAGAAAACGTTCAGAGTTTTCCTTTTAGTTTTGTGTTTTCCATTTAATTCTTTTTCATTTCAAACATATTTTACGACACTACATATTGTACACGTTATGCAAAAATCCAGCTATTTCCTCTTGGATTGCTCGTACGCGAGCCGCTGGTAGGAGCTTATCCCGCATCTCCTTCATTTTTAAAGAAAGAGATCAATATGCATGTATTAGTTGTGTGTATGTATATTAGATAATAATGTAAAAATTATGAATAGTGTTCTGACAAACGTACCCATTAGTCTCTATCAGTTCTAGTCCTTTCGGATGCCATCATGCGAATGTTCTTGCAAACATAGTATGCACATAAATCAGTCCCCGACGTCTGCTTCAGGGCCTTTAGGACAATAGAATTCAATCAAATAATAATTAATCAAGCAAGATAATGGTATTGAAACTAGAATTAAAGAGATGATAGCTAGCTGATAGGTACTTAATTAATTACCTTGGGTAGACACCATTTCAGCTTTTTTTCCATTGGCCATCAACCTGTTTGATGAACTTTTCCCAAGCCCTGCCCGCCGGCAAGTAAAATGAATAAATGAGTTATTAATTAGTTGATATCAGGAAATGACGAACTAAACAGGCCGACATATAGTTCGATAATGATTTAAATTACCTGTCGACCATCCGGTGGAAACCGATTGAGTAGTCGTTAACGTCTTTAAGAAGTGAGTCCAGTACTTGAACTTTTCCCTCGTTAATTTCAATGATTAACAAGATCCAGTGGAAATGGCATGCGCACAGCTTGCATGTACAATTAAGCGGGCATGCATGTATAATTAAGCAGGCATGTGCATAACTCATCAACTACTTAAACCCTCTGTACACTTATTAACATCTAGCTATTAAGCAAAAATATAATTTTTAGTACAAGACAGTGTGACTCATCTGAAGTTGTAAGGAAGTAGTATTTTTGGACAGGTATTTAGGCACACCAAGAACTCTAGCAAGCTTTTCTCTGTGTTTTTTCGTTCTTATGGACGTGTCCATATATCTTGATTAATGGTATTTGGGTCAATGGGCTCATTTCATACATCTTCATTCTGCATAATATCACAAAAAAGAATATAGTGAGGATAATTACAGGTAATGATCAACGAGCACTACAGCTAGCTAGAAACTTAATTAAATTACAGAAAAAAAACATTTACAAACAACAACAACTTACGATATATTTGTCAAGTGCGTCTTGATTGAATAACTAAAACAATTCTTTAAACTCAACATATAGAGCATTTTCATGGTAGTAATGCTCTGGCGTGACTCTCGCCATGAGGAACTCTCGATCGGTAGTCTTGGTTTCTTTGATGTACCATTCATGCAATTCATACGTTCTCGTTGATAGACTCTTGATGTCCTCAGGCTTCACCAGAGGTTGGATGCGAGCATATTTCTGTTTTAGTTGCTCCTTGGTAAAAGTTTCCATGGGCTCGATGCCTAGGAGTTGTCTACAATGACACCGGCCTCTTCAGCATGCCTTCTATGATCGTCAGTTATTACCAACTGATCGGTGCCGGTACTCACATGTGTAGGTACAATGAGCGGGGGGGGGGGGTCAATTGCACCGCCTGTTCTCCTAGCTGGGGAATAGTTTTCCCGCTTTTTTGCAGCTGCTTGGCTTGAGCTCGAGCTCAATGATGTCTTTTGAAGCTACGTTGGTATTTCCCAAAGAGGAAGGGATGATGCAGCACAACAGCGGTAGGTATTTCACTCAAATATGAAATCAAGGTTATCGAACCAGTAGGAGAAGCAAGCAACACAACGTAAACAGCCCCTGCACACATATAACAAATCCTCGCAACCCGACATGTCAGAGGGGTTGTCAATCCCTTTCGGGTAACGGTGCCAGAAATTGGTGCGTGACGGGAAAAAGTTGTAATAGATTGAATAAATAGATCACAAATAAAATAAAGTGCAGCAAGGTATTTTTCGGTTTTTGGATTAATAGATCTGAAAATAAAAGCAAATAATATGAGAAAGAGACCCGGGGGCCGTAGGTTTCACTAGTGGCTTCTCTCGAGAAAAATATCAAACGGTGGGTGAACAAATTACTATTGGGCAATTGATAGAACTTCAAATACTCATGATGATATCCAGGCAATGATCATTACATAGGCATCACGTCCAAGATTAGTAGACCGACTCTTGCCTGCATCTACTACTACTACTCCACACATCGACCGCTATCCAGCATGCATCTAGTGTATTAAGTTCATGGAGAAACGGAGTAATGCAATAAGAACAATGACATGATGTAGACAAGATATATCTATGTAGAGATAGACCCCATCGTTTTATCCTTAGTAGCAACGATACATACGTGTCGGTTCCCCTTCTGTCACGGGGATCAAGCACCGTAAAATCAAACCCACTACAAAGCACCTCTTCCCAGTGCAAGATAAATAGATCAAGTTGGCCAAACAAAACCCAAATATCGGAGAAGAAATACGAGGCTATAAGCAACCATGCATAAAAGAGATCAAAGAAACTCAAATACTTCCATGGATATAAAAAGAGATAGATTTGATCATAAACTCAAAGTTCACCGGATCCCAAAAAACACACCGCAAAAGAGTTACATCATATGGATCTCCAAGAGACCACTGTACTGAGAATCAAGAGAGAGAGAGAGGAAGCCATCTAGCTACTAACTATGGTCCTGAAGGTCTACAAAGAACTACTCACGCATCATCGGAGAGGCACCAATGGAGGTGGTGAACCCCATCCGAGATGGTGTCTGATACGTCTCCAACGTATCTATAAATTTTTGATTGCTCCATGCTATTATACAACCTGTTTGGATGTTAATGGGCTTTATTTACACTTTTGGGACTAACCTATTAACCGGAGGCCCAGCCCAAATTGCTGTTTTTTGCCTATTTCAGTGTTTCGTAGAAAAGGAATATCAAACGAAGTCCAAACGGAATGAAACCTTCGGGAGCGTTATTTTTGGAACAAACGTGATCCAGGGGACTTGGAGTGGACGTCAAGAAACAATCGAGGAGGCCACGAGGCAGGGGGCACGCCTACCCCCCTGGGCGCGCCCTCCACCCTCGTGGGCCCCTCGTTGCTCCACCGACCTACTTCTTCCTCCTATATATATCTATGTACCCCGCAAACATCCAGGAGCACCACAAAAACCTAATTCCACCACCGCAACCTTCTGTACCCAAGAGATCCCATCTTGGGGCCTTTTCCGGAGCTCCGCCGGAGGGGGCATTGATCATGGAGGGCCTCTACATCAACTCCATGGCCCCTCCGATGATGTGTGAGTAGTTTACTTCAGACCTTCGGGTCCATAGCTAGTAGCTAGATGGCTTC